TCACATTGAAACTGGCCAGCACCTTTCACTTTCTGTACAGACAAACATCATTTCAAAAGTACAGGATGAGTCACACAATACCTAAACTTTAAAGAGAACACACTCTTTCAAGAAGATTTTTTTTTCTCTTAGCCAGCAGCCGTGTCATCCTACAATTCACAGCTGGCAGCCCACTGGGGCTCAGCAGGTGTGAGCCTGGTCAGTACCTGGATAGGAGATCTCCTGGGAAAACTAAGGTTGCTGCTGGTAGAGGTGTTAGTGGGGCCAGCAGGGGGCGCTCACCCTGTAGTCTGTGTGGGTCCTAATGCTCCAGTATAGTGACAGGAACATTATGCTCTAAAAAGGTGCCATCCTTTGGATGAGACATAAAACTGAGGTCCAGTCTCTCTGTGGTCATTAAAAATCTTAGAGCATTTCTCGAAAAGAATAGGGGTGTTACCACCAAATTTCTGGCAAAATATCCCATTGGTCCTTACCAGTCATGGCCTCCTAATAACATCCCTCTATGAATTGGCTTCATTAAACTGCTCTCCTCCCCACTGATAGCTGATGTGTTCTGGCGCACTATGGCTGCCGTCGCATCATCCAGGTGGGGCTGCACACTGGTGGTGGAGGGGAGTCCCCATTGAGTGGAGTGTCCAGAAAAGCGCTACATAAGTGTAAGCACTAATTAATTGATTATTAATTACTTTGTATTGCTTATACATGCTGTTTAGAAGATGAAAATTGATGCAAACATACTGTACAGACCAAACTTTTTTAAAGGTAACTTTTTCAAATTCAGTGTTTCTCATCTTATATTTATAGTTCCGATTTTTGCTGCTTGTATGTGACACACTGTACTTGTTTACATTAAATGTCATACTGTATTCAATTTTGTCTAAGCCTTTTTGAATTTCCATTGTATCTTCTGTCTTGATATAATCCATGAACATGACTTCTTTATGAACTGTGCTATTGTCTGATTGCTGAACCCGATAGGCTATTTCACAGGTATAACAGCTTTAACAACAGACCCAATATTAAGGAGATCTCTACCTGGTGGAGATACAAGAAGGTTTGGTTTGAATCTCTGTTGGGGACCATAAAAAAACAACTTCATTTGTTTTTTAGAAGTGGTACAAAGATTATCTGATGCTGGCCAAGACCCGATCAAAACTTCAACTTCTTACCCACCTATTTCAGATTTCAAATCTTCTGTTTGATGGTGGTGTATTGTTTGCCTGAGAGTTCTTAGATTTACTGTACTAATAGGAAACCTGCAGTT